CAACGGCTCGTAGAAGGGGTGCAGTGGGTGCAGGTATCGAGGTGTACTCGTGGAGTGCAGCCGGAATGTCACCGTGCGTGGTTCCGCTCGACCATCGCTGTGGGCGTCGACGATGGCGGCGAGCTCATTGATGCCAGGGTCCCATTTGAGGTGGACAGCTGCGTCGGGGCCCGGGCGGCTGACCGCGCCGAGGCGCTTGATCTCGGTCATGAATGGGTTGATGGGCAGGATGGCACGTTCAAGCTGCCGGAGAAGTTTGGTATCGAGCTGTAGTGTGGCAGCCTGTCGGGCGCGTTCTCGAGGGTCCACGACGAGGTACCGTGCTGCGGTGGAGTCTTGCGCTGAGAGTAGGCGTCGGTACATGGTGCCATGTATGCGTAAGTTGGAAGGGCGCAAATAGTTTCCGAACCGTAGCTCCTTGGCGGGACCGGCGCTTTGCATCTCGTGTACTGCCAAAGCGCATAATTTGTTATAGCGGCGGCTGACAGCTGTGAAGCCCGTGAGGCGGGGTGTGTCCGTAGCGGCGTCGTGGATGGGATGTCCTTTTGCGTCGGTGGCAGGCCACGTGGATTGATGCACGCGGAGAAGAGCAGGGGAAGGCAAGGGGAAGAAGTCGGTGAAGGGAACTGCCCATTTACCGTTATTGCAGCAGAATGTGAACGGCTCGCACGAGAAGAGCCGTGCTGAACAGTGCGGGCACATGCGGGCCATGTCGCCTACTACGAAGGGTTTGTCGTCATAAGTTGGGCGTCCGTTCGTGGCGCACTCCCGGCAAACTCCTCCTGAATATCGTTGGTGGTGGGCGAGCGTGTCACTGGGCACAGTGAGGCCGCATTGGGCGCAGGTGGTCTCCAGGCGGGAGCGGGTCTGGCCAGACGCTTGGGGAGCACTAGCTGTGCTTGTGCGGCATGCTCGAGTCGGTCGGTAGATCTGGTACTGGCTGCAGCTCTCACGCGGAAGGTCGAGGCCACAGCGGGAGCAATGCAGCTCGGCAGCGCTGGGTCGGCCACGGCCAGCGGGTCGTTTGTGCACTTGAGAGGGTTGGCCGTCGTCGCCAGCACAACGCGTGTAGCGTGTGCGACGGCACTGCAGACTTGTGAGAAACGCAGTTGCAGAGCCAGGGAGGAGCCATGCCCCGCCAGCAACCTTCCGCAACCCAGAGAACATGGTACCGTCTGGGCCCAGACGGCTACGGAGGAAAGATGATGCCTCGGGGAAGAAAGACGCTGAGTCCAACGACAGCGTGGCATGGTGATCAGGGTCGCCTGACACATTCCAACGCACGGAGAAGGGGCAATTCTTCGGACGGTGGGGCCCCTCTTGAACCTTGGAGAAGTCCGTGGGTTCCCAGTGTGTTGGCTGTGGGTTGGGTGCGTAGTGTCTGTGTGTGCGTAGGTGTTTGTGCGAGGTGTGCGGGCGGATCATGGGCGGATCGTCCGAAGGGGGACCTGGTGGCTGGCAGTCCGGTGTATGTGCGCGTGTGTGTGCATTGCGCCTGTGTGTATGTGATGGGGCGTAGGTGGTTGTGCGAGATGTGCGCGCGGATCACGCGCGGATCGCCCGCAGGGGGACCTGGTGGCTGGCACTCCGGTGTGAGTGCGCGTATGTGTGGTATGGTGCCTGTGCGTGCGTGCTCGTGGGTGTGTATGTGGTGACCTGTGCGTGTGAGGGTATGTGTGGTTGTGGATGAGGGGCGTGTGAGTGTGCTATGGGTGTGTGGGTGTGTGTGCGTGCATGTGGGTGTGCGTATGTGTATGCTTGTATGTGAGTGGCTTTTGTCTACAGGCGACCGTGCATGGGCTGTGGAGGGGCAATTCTTCGGACGGTGGGGCCCCTCTTGAACCTTGGAGAAGTCCGTGGGTTCCCAGTGTGTTGGCTGTGGGTTGGGTGCGTAGTGTCTGTGTGTGCGTAGGTGTTTGTGCGAGGTGTGCGGGCGGATCATGGGCGGATCGTCCGAAGGGGGACCTGGTGGCTGGCAGTCCGGTGTATGTGCGCGTGTGTGTGCATTGTGCCTGTGTGTATGTGATGGGGCGTAGGTGGTTGTGCGAGATGTGCGCGCGGATCACGCGCGGATCGCCCGCAGGGGGACCTGGTGGCTGGCACTCCGGTGTGAGTGCGCGTATGTGTGGTATGGTGCCTGTGCGTGCGTGCTCGTGGGTGTGTATGTGGTGACCTGTGCGTGTGAGGGTATGTGTGGTTGTGGATGAGGGGCGTGTGAGTGTGCTATGGGTGTGTGGGTGTGTGTGCGTGCATGTGGGTGTGCGTATGTGTATGCTTGTATGTGAGTGGCTTTTGTCTACAGGCGACCGTGCATGGGCTGTGGAGGGGCAATTCTTCGGACGGTGGGGACCCCCTTGAACCTTGGAGAAGTCCGTGGGTTCCCAGTGTGTTGGCTGTGGGTTGTGTGCGTAGTGTCTGTGTGTGTGCGTAGGTGTTTGTGCGAGGTGCGCGGGCGGATCATGGGCGGATCGTCCGAAGGGGGACCTGGTGGCTGGCAGTCCGGTGTATGTGCGCGTGTGTGTGCATTGTGCCTGTGTGTATGTGATGGCGCGTAGGTGGTTGTGCGAGATGTGCGCGCGGATCACGCGCGGATCGCTTGCAGGGGGACCTGGTGGCTGGCACTCCGGTGTGAGTGCGCGTGTGTGTGATTGTGCCTGTGTGTGCGTGCTCGTGGGTGTGTATGTGGTGACCTGTGCGTGTGAGGGTATGTGTGGTTGTGGATGAGGGGCGTGTGAGTGTGCTAGAGGTGTGTGGGTGTGTGTGCGTGCATGTGGGTGTGCGTATGTGTATGCTTGTATGTGAGCGGCTTTTGTCTACAGGCCACCGTGCCTGGGCTGTGGAGGGGCAAGCCCGTACCCCCATTACCCGCCACGTGTAGTTGGTGCTCTGTTCGATCATCGTGCCCGGGCTTGACTGCCATGACGGAGAAGATCGCAGGACAACCTGGTGGCTGGCATTCCTGGTGTCATGGGGGGAGGGTACGGTACGAAGGGAGGGGATAAATGCATAGAAGTAGGAGGACTGATGCTCCGCGGACCTGCCTTTTTGGAAACGCCGATGTGGCGGAGAGATGGGGTAGAGCGTGGCCAAGGTACCTGACCATGAGTTCTCCGGGTCGGTTTGGAAAGCCTTCGGGGATCATGTGGGGGAGAATGAGCACGAAGAGAAGAGGAAGAGGAAGATGGAGAGTAGTGGGAGGCTCTAAGGAGCGTCTTGGGGCACTCTTGGGGTTTCTTGCGAGCTTCCTGGAGGCGTCTTGGAGGCGTTTTGGGGGGCTTTCCTGGGCCAGCTGGGGGCCTTCGGGGGCTTCTTGGGGGCCTCTTTGGCCGTCTTAGGGCTTTCCTGGCCCGTCTGACGCCGTCGGAAACCGTCTTGGAGGCCACTCTGAACCGACTTGGGGCCCTCTTGGGGCGCCTCAGGGCCGTCTTGGAGGCCATCTTGGGCGACTTGGAGGCCTCTTGGACCGTCTGGGGGCCCTCTTGGGGCCTTCTTGGGGGCCTCTTGGGCCGTCTTGGAGGCCATCTTGGGCGTCTTGGAGGCCTTTTGGGCCGTCTTGGGGCCCTCTTGGGGCCTTCTTGGGGGCCTCTTGGGCCGTCATGGGACCATCTTGGAGGGCTCTTGGGCGCTCTTGGGGCGATGTTGGGGGCCTCTTGGGCCGTCTTCGGCCGTCGGAGAGCTGAAAAGAAGAACATGCCAAAATCCTTCAAAAAACCTAAGGAAAATCGATGATGTTAGCCTCTTCGGGCCTCCCTGGAGGGCGTCTTGGAGGGCTCTTGGGCCCTCTTGGAGGCTTCTTTGGAGCCTTTGGGGCCGTCTTAGACCATCTTGAGACTATGCTCGGCCGTCTTGCAGGCCATCTTGGCCTCTTGGAGGCCATCTTGGCCGTCGTGGAGGCACTTGTGGGGTGTCTGGAAGGTCCGAGGGATGCTTTGGAGGACTCTTTCCATGTCTCCGCCGGTGCCCCGGGAGGGCCTGGAATTATCTGATGCCCATCTCTGTCGGGTTTTTCCGTGTCATGTAATAAGGATAAGGAATATGTAATATAAATATATATATATATATAATAATTAAATAATATAATATTTAATATATATATAGTTAAATTTATTTATTACTATTATTATGAATATTAATATGTATATATATAAAGGTGTTATATTATCATTAGTATTATCATTTTTATTATTATCAGTACTAGTATCATTATTATTATTATTAATATTGGTATTATCATTATTACTACCACTATTATTATTATTATTATCACTATTTGATATATATATATATATAGACACTAGTAATACATTTTAAACAAATATAAGTGTATATATATATATATATATATATATATATATTCGTATATATATATACATATTATATTACTACTAAATCTTATTATTTTATATAAAAAACGCGCCCGAGTGGACGGCGCCGGCACCACGGCAAACCCACGGCGAACCCTGCGTCCCGCGCCCCCAAATGGACGACGCCGGTGCCGCGGCAGACCCGCGGCGGACCCGCCGCACCCGACTCGGCGCTGGCCCCGGTGGCCGAGGCGCGCCCCCCCCCAGGCGCAATGCCGCGCCTCCTCCTCCTCCTCCTCCTCCTCCTTCTCCTCCTCTTCCTCCTCCTCCTCCTCCCTCCTCCTCCTCCTCCGCCCCCCGCAGGCAACGGCGAGGCGACACGTGTACTCCAGATTTCGTAATAAAAGGGAGGGGGTCTGGACCCTCCAAAACAGGCCACTTCAGACCCCCCCCCCGTGGGAGACCTCCAGAACATCGTCCCCAGATCCCCCCCAGGCCCTCCAAATAGCCTGGAAGAGGCCCCCCCCCCCGAAATGAGACCCCCTCCCTTTATTACGAAATCTGGAGTACCGTTCGAGCACCTTCGGGGCCCATGGGGGGCCCCTCTTCTGCAACCCTCGACCACCCCAGCCATTCACCGCCCGCCCCCACGACGACACGCCCGATGTGAAGGCTCCGTGGGGCGAGTGGTGGTGCCTCCAGCTGCTCGGTGCGCGCGAGGACCTTGGCAGCCGCCTGCGCGGAAAGGGGGCGGGCTCTGCGCAGGCGAGACGGGGAGTAAGCTCAGGGGGCCCTGCAGCGGGCTCGCGTCCCTCCCTTCCTTTCTTGCCGCTGGTGCTGGTGCTCCCCCTCTTCTGTTCCCCTCTTGCTCGTGCTCTAACTTTTTTTCCTTCCTCGGCCATCCTCGCCCTCCTCGCTTCTCCCTCCCTCCACCTCCATCCCTCGCCCCCTTCCTCTTCTTCCCTATCCCTCCCGCCCTCCTCCCTGCTTCATTTTTTTTTTATGCGCAGTGCCAGCTGCTCCAATGAACCAATGCGCTCGTCAACGTTCGGCATTCGTTTCGTTTCCTTCGGCCTGACGTCTATCTAGACTAGCAGGACATGTCACTGCGTGTGCTCATCATGCGTGCGTTAAACGACCCACAAATCTGTGCATGCCGACAATGCCGCTGCCTCTGCGGATATATAATCTGGCCAAATCTTGAGGAACGTGCCTCCCATGGCCAGCTTGTGGCTATCACCAATACAAAAAATTACGTCTTGGATCCACGCAGATGCCGCGCAAAATCTGCCCCGAACCGCGCCATCAATATGAACAATCATATTACAATGATGGAACGTTTTGCTCGGGTGAGGCCAATAGAGCCTAAAGACCATGTTTGTTTGACATCCGTGGTGACATTGGCGAGGCGGTGAGCGATGACATTCGAGCTACGTCGTCGCCATGTCACTGGATCCCGCCACCTTTCTGGGGAAGACCACCCGCACATCACCAAAATAGCCAGATTGCTGCATGTACGGTTGATTAGATGGAGGGCCCCTGGGTTGATGCAAGGGGCGTGGCCGCAGACAATGCGCTGTAAAGGTTGGCGGCCCACGGCGAAGAGCACCTGCGTCAACGTGCCCCCCCAATAAAAATCAGTATCCCGTCCGTCATCAACGTGTGATTGTGGAAGGTCGTCTGGGACGTGCCGTTGATGTCGTCGCCGCTTACTCGATTGATCCAACATTTGCTCTAGGTTGGTGTTCGGCTAGGGCGCGGGCAACCCTCAGTGCTTGCAAAACGCAATAACATAGAAATCGGAAATGGCCATCCACCCCCGCTAATGGGCGAAATGGTCCCGGAATGATCTCCAGCGCAAGCCATAAACCAGCGCGACTGCATCTTCCCAATCAGTGGCGCCCCTGGGGGTCGCGTGCGTCAAGCCCATGTCGCGGCGACGGCGCCAGGGCACTGACCCCCCGACCTCCACTCGCGGCTGCGGAAGCGACATGTGTTCTGGAGGTGGTTGACGCTTCCGGCCCATGCTTCGATAAAGCTGGCAATACGTGGTTGTGCTGCATGTTGCTCTCGCCAAGTCGTCGACGGAGCCGGGGTACTCTGCGAAAAATCTTCTTCTCCCAACGTTCGCCGCAAATGAGATGCCAGCCGTGAGGCGCCAAGAATTTGACACGTAGGTGACCGAGGCGCAAGGTCCATAATGCCACGCCCGAAACTTGTCCAAAGCGGTGCCGGGACCTAGGACGTTCGCCGAGTGTGCCTAGAAATGCGCCTCACCTTTCGCCAATCGGTGATCCAAGCTATGGGCTGTCGACCCTTCTGTATCCAAATGCACTCTCAATATGCTCATGCACTTGCACTCCACGAACTTGATCGCCGTGGCGGTGCCGCTCCAGAACCGTATCTTCAATCAATTCCCTGCCCGCGCCACCGAACATGAATTGTAACGGGTTTGATTTCCGCATGAATTTCAAATTATGTTTTGTGCTCGTGAGCTCCTGGTACAAGGTGCGCATGTTGCTCTCGCCAAGTCGTCGACGGAGCCGGGGTACTCTGCGAAAAATCTTCTTCTCCCAACGTTCGCCGCAAATGAGATGCCAGCCGTGAGGCGCCAAGAATTTGACACGTAGGTGACCGAGGCGCAAGGTCCATAATGCCACGCCCGAAACTTGTCCAAAGCGGTGCCGGGACCTAGGACGTTCGCCGAGTGTGCCTAGAAATGCGCCTCACCTTTCGCCAATCGGTGATCCAAGCTATGGGCTGTCGACCCTTCTGTATCCAAATGCACTCTCAATATGCTCATGCACTTGCACTCCACGAACTTGATCGCCGTGGCGGTGCCGCTCCAGAACCGTATCTTCAATCAATTCCCTGCCCGCGCCACCGAACATGAATTGTAACGGGTTTGATTTCCGCATGAATTTCAAATTATGTTTTGTGCTCGTGAGCTCCTGGTACAAGGTGCGTAAATCAATCATCGACGCTGCTGGTGCAACGCAGTGAATATATAAAGATATATATATATATAATAATATAGTAGAAATATATATAGGTTGTATGCTGGTATGTGTAATGTAAGGTGTGGTTTAGTTGATTTGTTTCATGTTTATTTCACTCCGGATCCCCACCACTTTCCTACTCACCGCCAGCAAACGATCGTTCACATCCCCCACTGGTGTTCCCAGCACCACTGTCCTCACCACCGCTGTCCCCACTGGTTCCACCACCGCCCCTACTGTCCCCACCAGTGGCCCCACCACTGTCGCAGTGTCCCCGCTGTCCCCAGAACTGTTCCCACCACGGTTCCACTCTCCCCACTGTCTCCACGGCCCCAACCACTGCCCGACTATCCCCACTGTCCCCACTGTCCCACTGACTCCTCCGCTGTCCCACTGAGCTGTCCCACTGTTCCCACCACTGTCCCCACCACTGTCCCCACTGTACCTCTGTCCCATTGTCCCACCGCCGTCCTCGCCACCGCCTTCACCACTGTCCCCACCACCATTGTACCCTCCACTGTCCCACTGTTTCCACCTCATTCCCATTGTCCCCACACCGCTGTCCCCACCACCACCGTCACCACCACTGTCCACTGTCCCCCCCTGTTCCCACCATTGTCCCCACCACTGTCCCCACCACTACCGTCCCCGCCACTGTCCCACTGTCCCACTGTCCCCACCACTGTCCCGCTATCCCCTCACCACTGTCCCCGCCAACACCGTCCCCACCACTGTCCGCGCCCCCACTCGGTTTTTTCGAGGGGGGGGGGGGGTTCGAACCGGTAGTGACCCCCCCCCGGTTTTCCGGATCCGGAGGGGGGGGGGGGAGGGGGTTCGAACCGGTAGTGACCCCCCCCCTTTTCATGATGAGCTGGGGAGGGGGGGGGAGGGGTTCGAACCGGTAGTGACCCCCCCCCGGTTTTCCGGAGGGGGGGGGGGGGGGAGGGGTTCGAACCGGTAGTGACCCCCCCGGTTTTCCGCCAGCAGCGGTAGAAACACGCTCTTTCGTATAATATTATGTCTGTGTGTATACACACAAGTATGTATATATATCTATATATATATATATATATATATATATATATGTGTATGTGTACATGTATACGTGTATGTATATGTAAATGCAACTGTGTATGCACATAAATTTATATATATATATATATATTATACGATCGGCACACATAAGATGAGTGAGTCTCTGGATGCCTCGGACATCTAAACCAAACTGCCTGGAAGACTAGCTCCTTACCAGATTTTCTAAAGAAATTTCAATAATGATGTTCCACTCGTCTGGAGTCTCTTTGCCACTTTGTTTCCACCCGTGTGATAATAAAAGCCGCTGTGATGATCCTGCCGTGGAGATTGAAAGCGACGCTGTTACGGCGTATACCTCGCGCGTCAAACAACATTTGTGCTCTGGATGAAGTCCCTTCCTCAGTAATTTAGCAGCGATGACCTCTCGACCAATGCAATCGACAGCTGTGACGACATCCAAAGCCACTAAGTACGACAGCGAATTCCGTTGGTGGCACAAAAAGAGACTTGTCGCAATTTGCCAACAGTGCCTGTGCAATTCAACCAGGTTTGAACCCATAGTTGCAAACGTTCGTCGGCCCAGGAATTGCAGGCCGAATGCATTGCACCAAACTACCAACATACCACTTGCAGAAGCAGTCCATGCTCGAAATCCAGCGGTAACTTTCGTACGAAACCGCTCGTGGTTCTTTAAGGATGCCTGTGTAGTCGATCGCCTTCCAGTCTGGAGGGTCCTCTGAATGAAGCTGCGCTCCCCTCTCTGCAAAAAGCCTCCACACGTGAACGAGCAAGATGAATGGGAGATGCTTGAACACCTCAAGTGGGCAACCATTCAAACGAGGTGTTGTGGCTACCTTCAGCTATGCACGCCTCTGCAAAACTCTGTGACATATATTCTACCCGGCCTGATCCCATGAAGCGCGTAACTACGAGTTGTACTCGACAAGGTCCTCAACCGACGCTCCTGCGCAGCCTGGATTCTGAAACCCGCGTGTTCCAAAACGCTCCGCCTCCCGAATCCACTCGGACCGATCGTGTGTGAGGACGCCGTCGATCTCCATGTGTACAGGCACCTTGCGATGGGAAGCGGTAGACCGAACACTCGTCAGCTTGCAGCTGTTTCTCTCCCTCCGAACCTTACGTTGAACTCGTCGGAGGTGCTGGACAGCCGATCTGTACTCAGACGTTGATGCGAAACAGAGTGCTCCATGAGTGGCCTTGATCTGAAGGCCCAAACGACGGCGATGTGCAAGATGCCGAGAAGACGTTGTCGGAAAATGAATGCTCGTGGCAATTTGAATGGACACCAAAGTGCAACTCACCCAACGAAATCGTGGATGAATCAATGCATTTCTTCTGAAACATCTGCTCGTCGGCCTCCGTGGCAGGCGCCCATCCCGTCGACGATCGCGTCGTCCTTTCTCCCCGGTGAAGCGGGGTTAACCCGCGAGGCGTAGCAATCAATGGTTGATGATCGGATCCACGGAATAACCTGCTGGAGAACGTGTGCGCGCGCGCGGTCGCTGATATCGTCGGGGTAACAACCATAACATCGATTTGGGTGCGTTTGTGCACCCCCTTCGCGTGCCGTATGTCCACAATCCCTCCCTGGAGGGCGCGACCTCTGGCTGATATGGGAAGGTGTTTAAGGCAGCCTCGAATCAAACAGTGATCATGCTTGCCATTCTCGGTGTGTGCGTCTTGGTGCCTGGTAAGACGTATTCCCCCGTGATGCTGTTAAGACTCTCAGGTAATGTGCATTTAGCTTCGACGTTCGGCATCTATCATCCATCATCCCTCCTCCTACCTTTGGCGACGCGCACAAGGGGGTAGGGGATGGGGGAAACGCTTCTTATATGGAGCCTGCTTCTTGGAAGGCGCCGCCCTCGTATCTACAGACATGGCCCGTGCCTTCTGAGAAGCAGGGGTGCTTCTAAGAAGTCTTCCCCCCTCCCCTACCCCCTCTGCGCGTGGCCGACACCTCGCTCCTTTCTGGGTGACGATACCACATGGGGGTCTGTGAATCAGCTGCGTGCAGCTGCTTGTTCCCGGCGCCTCCCTGCGCCAAAGGCACCCATGTGCCGAGGAACGCGCCCGCCGGCGGGCCGAATCCAGCTGCATGCAAAACGTTCCGCCCCCAATCCCCCCCTCGAGGAACGCGCCCGCCGGCGGTGTCGAATACAGCTGCATGCAGCAGGCTTCGCCCCCCTCCCCTCCCCACCCCGGCCGAGGAACGCGCCCGCCGGTGGGGCCGAATCCAGCTGCATGCAGCAGGCTGCGGCCCACCCCTCCCCGCCGAGGAGCGCGCCCGCCGGCGGGGCCGAATTCAGCTGCAGGCAGCAGGTTTCTCCTCCCCCCACCCCTAACCCTGCATTGCATTTCCCAATCCCTCCTGTCGTCCGACCCGATCCTTCCTCCCTCCTCCCTCTGCAGTGGGGTCCTCTACAAAGTCACGGCCGAGCTTATCCCCACGCGTGAGCACTGCTCCGGTTTCACAGCTCTCCCATTCGGGAGAATTCTGCAAGAGGACCTAGCCTGAGATGGCAGGAGGCGCGTGCACGACGGGCCAGTGAACGCCGCACACCACAGGCCACTGTGGCGGAGGGCCTCTCTCACGCGTAGCCGACCGATCAATTCTTGCCCCCCTCTCACACGTCAGAGACAACCCTCTGTCGAAGCCAACCCTTCCTCGTGCAACCACGTCTCCGGCTGCGGAGCCGTGATCCAGCAAGCAATTGTCGAGAGGCGAAGGCCACGGCCGCGTCTGGAGCAGGTTCCGGGAAGGGGTCTTCCCTCTCACAGATAGATCTCCGACGTCGTGATTTGTCCAATTCGGCCTCTGGAAATGGTCGCAGGGCCCCAGGACCGTCCAAATAACCGCTCAGCATGAGACGCTATCGCTGGCTAAAGGGTCGAGAGTTCTGCGGCCCGCTTATTGAACAAGTCATGACTTCGAAGGTCTGGGTTGCTCTCTCAATGCACCTATCCCTCGCCATCTCCTGCTCCTCCCGCGGTCAAGAAAGTGGGCCTCAGTGTTGCCTTTCTGACCTGCGACGGCTCCGCTCTTTCGGTCCGCTGGCCCCCAAACCTCTTGACCCCTTCCCTGCGTCCGTTTCCTCACCCTGAGTCCGTGTTTGCACTTTCCCCAGGGCGCCGGAGAGGGGGAACCTGGTCTTGGTGCGACTCCTGCCCGAGTCGCTCGGAGCCTGTGCCTTGGCCCCTGGGACGAGCGGACCCTCACGGGCGGGATGGGCGGGGCACTCAGGTGGGCGGCCAGGCTTCCGATCGGCCCAGCGGGCGCACCCTGGACGGGTCGGGCGGGCGGACCTGGACGGGTCGGTCGGGCGGGCGGCCCCTGGGGGGTGGGGGGTCCGAGGCCCCTGTGGACTCCCAGAACCGGCCGAGAAGCGCCCCGCCCCTGGAGCGCTCCGCTGGCCGCCTCCCCCTCCCCGTGCTCCTCCTCCCGTGCCTCCCCCTCCGCCAACTCCTGCATGCCTTCGTCCTTGTCCTCCTCGTCGCCCCCCCTCCTCCTCCTCCTCTCCTCCCTCCTCCTCCTCCTCTCCCTCCTCCTCCTCCTCCTCCTCTCTCCTCCTCCTCCTCCTCCTCTCCTCCTCTCTCCTCCTCCTCCTCCTCCTCCTCCTCCTCCTCCTCCTCCCCTCCTCCCCTCCTCCTCCTCCTCCTCCTCCTCCTCCTCCTCCTCCTCCTCCTCCTCCTCTTGGTCCTCCTCTTGGTCCTCCTCCGCCGTCCTCATCCTGGCCCTCGACCTCCTCGTCGTCCTCGCCCGCCTCTCCTCGACCGCCAGGGCGCCGACCCCGCCCCGCCTCCACAGAGCCCAGGCGCCGCACGGGCACGCCCCGGGCGCCGTAGTAGTGCCCCGCGCACTCGTGCAGCAGCAGCCCCCGCAGCAGCACCCCGCGCTGCGCCTCCTCTCGGGGCTCGTGCGCGGAGCGCCGTCGAGGCGGTCGAGGATCGAGGGCCGCGGGTTCTGGGCGCCCTCGGCTCGAGGATCCGCTGAGTGTCAGGGATCGAGGGGCCCCTTTGTGGGCCTCGGGAGGCCTCCGAGGGCTCCGGGGGGGGACCTCCTGCGGGGGGGGGGCCATGGGGCCCCGGGAGGCCTGGACCCTTTAGGGACTCGAGCAAGAATCGGTCTCCTGGGAGGAGTTGCTGGGACCGGGGAGCGTCAAGCGATGCTGATGGGACCTCCATTTGATTTCTCTTTACGTCGAAGGCAATGATATACAATGCGCTGGAAATACAATGTGGCGGCGGTAGAACAGGAATGCATGCCATAGCACCGTCCAGCACATCGTGGCACAATATATTTGTTGTGAAATGCGTCGCATAGCGTAGCATTAAACCGTATGGCGTGTGTCATGGCTTAGCAAAGCGTCCTTTTCTATATTTTGTAATCTGGGGTGGGGTGGGGAATTCCCCCCCTCAGAAGAACGGCTCCTCCCGGATCCGTGGCCACTCAGGTCCTCTGGCCTTTCCAGGGCTCCTGGAAGCCCCTACTGGGCCTGGGCAACGGGCCCGAATCGGTCGGGAGGGCGGCCGGACGGCCCCGTGATAGCCCCAAGAGGCCCCAGACACCCACCAGACGTCCGAGGACGACCCAAAGAAGACCGCCCAAGAGGCCTCCGAAATCTTCCCAAACATTGATTTCCAATGGTTTTTGTATGATCTACTTTCGGGTCTTCCGTGCGTCCGATACCGCCCAGGAGGCCAGAAACTCACCCGAATACTACCCAAGAGAGCTTCCAGGCAGTCCACGAAAGCCCTGAGGAGGCCCAGCAAGGCCCCAAGGTGGCCCCAAGAGAGCCCTATGACGGCCCAGGATGGCCCAAGACGCCCCCCGAAGCATTCCAAAACGTGACCCGGTCGTTCAGGGAGACTCTCTTTGGAAGCAGGGTTGCCCGAGGAAGCTCCCAGAGGCCCTCAGAAGGAACCCAGGAGGCCTCCAGAAGGCCCCAAGAAGCCCTGAAACATTTTCGTGAAGGCACCCAAGAGGCTCTCCAAGGAGGAGCCCCCCGGAAAAATGTATTAGGGTGGGGGCGAAGTTGCAGGGTACGTAGGGCGACAAAGAGGAAGAGAAAGAAGAACCATGAGGACATAATCTTCAATCATATGATTACAACGGTGATGTCGGACAAACGCAACAATGACTTATCGTCAAATTTATCGTTTTACCTTCCTGCCCTTTCGCCTGACTGCCAAACATCAAGGACCAAGGTGCCTGGCGCGAAGCGAATGCAGTCTTATGCTTGTATACATCTTCAAAAGCACACACATCTATGTATCTTTATGTGCTTTAAGCATATGTAAGCATTTTCTGCATACGTATGTGTCTGTATATATATATATATATATATACACCAGAACCACGCACACGCTTCGCGCGTGCTTAGGTTCTGGACGACTGCGAAAACGGTGACAACGACCAACGAGGACGTCCCGCCTTCGGCTTTCATGTGTCGTCTTGTGCCGACGCTGGGCCTGTTCTAACTTTGCTGATACCGTTATCGCTGAACTCTTCCGCTGTCTTCTATTCCACCTCCTTCATCTCCATGTCCTCGTCCCCCTCCCTCGCCTCGCCCTCCACCTCTTCCTCTCCTCCTCCTCTTCTCTCTCCTTCTCTGTCTTCCTCCTTCTCTTCCTGCTTTCCTCGTCCTCCTCCTCATCCTACTCCTCCTCCGCCTCCTCCTCCAATTCCGCCTGCTCCTCCTCCTCCTCGGCCTCCTCTGCTCCTCTCTCCCTTCTCCTCCGCTCTCATTCCGATTCTCCTCCCTCAGCGCGTTCCGGGAATCTTGCCGGGACGGGCTCTGCAGAATCACCGAGGCTGCTCCCCTTGCTACCCTCCTCCTACTGATCAACCCAACCTCCTTCGGGTCCACGCCTCCTCCTTTTCGTCCTCCTCTTCCTCCGCGTCACCTCCTTTCTCCCCTGGTCTTCCGCCTCCTCCTTCTTGTCCTTCCACCCCCTTACATGCAGAGCGTCTTTGGAGCGTTCTTGAAGCCCGTTAGGGGCCGCTTTGAGTGCTGTTGGGACCGTTTTGGGCGCCTCTCGGCGGCCGTTTTGGAATATCTTTTGGGCCTCCTGGGGACCTCTTGGAGCCCTCTTGGGGCCTGTTGCGGGACTCTTGGGCCCTCCTGGGAGCCTGTTGGGCGGAAGCCTGAGATTTTCGGTCCGTGCCCCCCCCTTCCCTCTGGGGCCCCTCTTGGGGCCGTCTTCGGGCCCTCTTGGGCCGTCTTGGGCGCCTCGTGGGCCGTCTTGGGGCCCTCTCGGGCCGGCGTGGGGCGGTCTTGGGGGCCTCTTGGGCCGTCTTGGGGCGGTCTTGGGGGCCTCTCGGACTGTCCTAGAGCGTCGGAAGCTCGGACAAGCGAGAAAAAAAATATATACCATTGAACAGCCAACGGAAAATCAATGTCTTTTGCCTGTTGGAGCCCTTTTGGGAAAGGTCTTGGGGCTCTCTCGGAGGGTATCCAAAGCTTCTTGAGCCGTCTGGCGGCCATCCTGAGCGTTTTGAATGCATCGTTCGACGGCTCTGGTGCCCTCTTGGGCCTCCTTGCGCCCTCTTAGGGCCCTTTCCGCCCATTCAGGGACCGGCCAGGACCGTTACAAGGGGTTCTTGGAAACAATCTGGGGCACCGGTCCCGCCATGGAGGGTCGAGGCAGCTGTTTTCGGGCCCTGGGCCTGCCCCCCCAGGTGTGTGTGTGTGTGTATATATATAGATATGTGTATATATAAATGTGTGCGCATGTATGTATGTAAATATCTATATATATATATATATAGATGTGTGTGTGTGTGTGTGTGTGTGTGTGTGTGTGTGCGGTGTGTGTGTGTGTGTGTGTAGCACCGGTCGCATTGCGCAGCTAAGCAGACTTCTGCATGGCTATAACAGCCTAGCGTGCCATAGCTTGCCTTGCGTAACCAATTATCGCAGCATCGTGTAGATTTGCATTGTGCGGAAAACCATACCAATACGCTGCCACGAACGGATTAGCACAGCATTTCCCACCATGGCAAATCGGTGCATCGAACTGTACAGAATAGCGCGATATAGCAGCGCGCGACATTTCACTCACACACCACATAGCAGCACTCAGCACATAATGACACAACAGAGCGTTGTATTGCACATCACTTAGTGGTATAGCATTGTGTGATACTGTCTAGCTTAGCAGACACAACATGACATGACATTGCGTGGCACCGCATACCATGGCCTTGCGTATCATCGCATTGTTTACCTCCTCAACACAGCACTGCCTAGCAACAAATCACAAATCAATCAAATGTAGTTCTGACCAGAACAAATCAACGCGAAACAATCACAAGCAAAAACAAAAAACCAACGCCAGGGTCTCGAGGAGCCGGCCTGACAGGGGCGTCCACATAGTTTCTCGGTGCATGGTGCAACGCGGAATCCCTTCGGCACACCTGATTGAAGTGAAAAAGAAAGCCCTAGAGGAAGCTCCAGAGGGGGCCCCAGGGAGGCCCCAGGAGACGCCCGATGAGGTCTCCAGCGGCACCCTGGGTGGCCGAATGCATGGAAAAAAACAATCGCACATGTCTATGATGTTCGGGCATCCGAAGCTTTTCGGCTCAAGACGGCCTGGGGAAGGCCTGAGAGATGGCAAAGCCTTTCAAGCCCCCCCCCCTCTCAAGTGGCCTGCTCCCTCTACGAAGTCCCCGCCTCCTAAGAAGGTCGCCCCCACCTCGCCCTCGCTCTAGCCCCATTTACCGCAGGAATCGACCTACACAGTGATTTTCGTTTTCGTTTTGTTTTTCGTTTTCCCTCGTTTGGTCTTAAATCCGCCTTTGCTGCAACACGAAATTGAAACGAAAACGGCCCACGAAATCGCCAAACCACTGTCTAGGTCGGCCCCTGATTTGCCGCCAGTCCTCTCCGCCGTCGCACGGCACCCTTGTGAGCGGCACGCCTCTGTCGCTGCACTCCACCTTCAGCTCATGGACTGGAAGCTGCTGCCAAATGCATGCAAGCTTCAAGCATCCCTTCGCCTCCTCTCCAGAGATGCCGTCCGGGGGCAGCTGGAAGCCGGCCTCGGCCCACTCACGGCGCAGCGCGGCGCTGCGGGTTGCCAGGCTGGCGCCCCCTGGCAGGCGTTCGATGTGCGCCAGTCTCTCCACAACGGCGGCTGCCTTTGAGACCTCGCCGATACGCTTAACAGGGACACCCAGCTCACACCACCTCGTGACGCACGACTCGGCGATCAGCCGCTGGATCAGCTCCTGCCGCTCGGACTCCCATTGCCCTGAGCCCTGCACTGCTACCTCCGATTCCTCACACTCCTTGCGGAGCTCGTGCACGGGCAACGCGTTCCACACAAGCATTACCTTTATGAGCTCCAAAATCTTTCGGTCGTCCATACCTGGTTCCAACGGCAAGCCCCATTCGTTCGTGTACTCCCGCCTGAGCGCAGCAGGCGGCAGACGCTCCAAGCGCCGCATCTCCTGCTGGAAGTGCTCCATCACCTGGCGGTCGGCCACGCGGCCAGCGAGGGCATCCGAACGGGTGCATGTGTTGTCCGACCCCCAAGCAGCCCAACATGCCTGGCAAAAGAAAGCGTCTGCGAGGCCTGCGCCAGCGGGGCCCTTCCAGCCTCGGGCGGCTGCGCCGCACTGCGCGCACCTGGCAACGGCGTGCCCAGCAACGGCTGCTGGGCCACCGCCAGCCGCTGGCGCAGCTGGCGCCGCTGGCGCAGCTGGCGACGCTGGTGCCGCTGGCATGCAGCGGGAAGCTGTGGGCGCGCCGCGGCGCGCCGCTGGCGCCGCGGGGGGGGGCAGACGGCCGAGGGCCGCAGCGACGCCGCCGCGGGCAGCTGGCGGTGGCAGCGCTGTCGGGCCGCTGGCGCCCCCGTCTGGCAACGAGGGGGCTCCGCGGCCCGGCAGCGGATGCGCCGTGCTGCTGGCGCTCTCGGCCGATGGCGAGTGGGCCTGCGCCGAGTGTGGCGGGGACTGCTGCGCGACGGCCGGCTCCCCAGTGACCTCCTCCGCGCCCTGTGCCGCCGCGGACGCCCGCCCGGCAGCAGTGGCCGGCGCCGCCACGGGCTCGGGCTGCTCGGGCTGGGAGTGCCGCCCTCCGCGTTGAGCCGCTCCCAGCAGCTCGCTGAACTTGCCAGGCCGCCGCCGCCCTGCGCCGCTCGCTGGGGCGGTGTCGGCGCTGGCGCCGGCGGCAGCGCGCGCCGAGGCTTCGGATGTCGCGGCCCCGCCTCGCAGGAGCTCGACGATGTCCGCTGTCTCGCTCGGAGGCCGCGGCGCCGCCTGCGGCCACAACCCCTCGCCATCCACCGATATGACCTCCTCGCTGTCGTCGCCCATGGCGCCGGCGCGCTCGTCTCGGCGGCCATGGAGCCGCCGCCGCTCGCGCGGCGCGCGCCCGCCCGTCGGCGCACGGCCCCCGAGGCTGCGGCCCGCGCCCGCGTCCGCCCGCCTCTGGGCTCTACCGCTCGCCCTGCACGCTCGCCGCCCCGAGCCTTCCCCGCCCTGGCGCCTCGTCCCCCGAGCCGCCCTCGCTCCCACGCCGACTCTCGGCGACTCCGTGGAGCGCCGTGTCTCTGACGCTGTGCTGCTGCTGTGCACGGCCAGACCGCGCGGAGGCGCCGGACGCAGTGCCACGGGCGCTCCGCTCCTGGAGCTCTGCTGCGCTTTCGTTCTGACCTGTGCCCCCCGGACGCTCTGGACGCATGCCTCGCCCAGCCCAGACGCCTCGAGACGCCGCCCTGGCGCCCTGACATGGGGCTGCCGTGCTCGGGCTTCCCCGCACTTCCTACCTCCTCTCGTGCACGACGGGCACGTGCTGCAAATTTTCGGCGTCTGCGGGCCCTCACCGGGCCCTGGAGCAGTCAAGAAAGGACGCAGGATGAAGAACCGGGTCCCAGATAGGGGTCGAGACCTCAGGGGGCCCACGTAGTGAACAACGTCGGGACGCTGGAGGGCTGGAATTGAAGCCGCAGGCGTAGCCCGTCTGCGAAGGGAGGGCGCAAGCAATGACGATGGCGCAGATGAGGCGAAGGATGCGCTCTCTCGAGCGTGTTTCCCTCTGGCGGTGGTGGTCCGTGTCGGGGTGATGCCTGCCCTCCAGCAAGCCGCTCTGCGACTTGGAAGCCGCCCAGAGCAGGCTTGGCGCACCCCGTGGCGCCACGGTCTGCCTGGCCGAGGGCGGATGAAGGGGAACACCCAGACCCTTAAGTAGAACTACAACATATACTTATCGACGCCGAACAAGTCGGTGATCTGGCTCGAAACCCTAACGCAGTGGATGCCCAGCGCACAACATGCAAGTTAGATCTTTGCCCGCCTCGAAATAGAAACCGCAACTGCATATGTGACCAAACCACTCGTTGCCGTGACCCTCGGGGGCCCAGTCCAAAAGGAGGGCTGGACGCCGTCTGGATGGCCGATCTTCTGTCGTCAAAGTGGGGACAGCATGCCCACAAATGCCGAAGAGGTGGCCAAGGCTCGTCACACCACTGGCACGCCTCCTGCTCTCCTGGCACGGCCTGCCCCGCCTCCTCTCTTCTGCTCCTCCTCACTGAGGGGCAGCTTAGGGGTGGACCAGCTCAGGGGGGGAACGTCGCCTCTGACTCCCTCTCGCACCCAGGTGCGAGAGCTCCGGGGAGCGGGATGCAAGCCTCAAGGCCGACAACTGATCTCTTCCACCGTGCTCGAGAGTGCTTCCATGTCTGCAGCGGAGAGGCCGTGCTTTTTGAACCTTCAGGCCAAACTCGAGACCGTGCTCGACAGTCCAGTCTTGAGTAGCCCCGCTGTGGCGGATAAGGAAGGTCTGGCATGAGGCACACGAGGGGGAGAGCCCAAGCGGCTGCCGCGGGGAGTGGTGCGCGCCAAGATGCCCGCGAGACGGGACGGATGATGACACGGATGACGAGTGCTGCGGGGGGCAATCGCCGCAGCAAGAGAAACAGGATAACAGGAGACGGAACAGGGTGGAGGAGGAGAGGAGGATGTGGCGCCAATCGCCAGAGTTCCTGGATGGAGGAGCGGAACAGCAGCTAACACGGAAGCTCAAGTCGCAACCAAGAAAACTTGGGCCCCTCGACTTCCACTCAGCCAAGCCGCCGCCCGACTCAGGCTGGCACTGGCTCTACGGTCGGGACTTTTGCTTAGCGTGTCGCTGCGGCGGCCCTGGCGACACGCTATGCCATGCGATCGGATAGCGTGCCGCTCCGCCCCGTGGGGCGAAAGGCTCGGGAAAGTGGACCAGAACCGGCGGAACGACACGCCAAGCCAACATTCCTGACCGTATCTCCTCCTCCTCCTCCTCCGCTTCCTCCTCCCTCTGCTCCTCCTCCTTCTATTTCCTCGTATCGTTCCTCGTCTTCCTTCACCTTCTTCTCCCCTCCTCCTTCTCCTCCTCCTCCTCCTCCTTCATCCTCCACCTCCTCCTCCTCGTCGTCCTCCTCCTCCTTCTTCTCCATTCCTTTCCTTATAAATAATTTCTCCCTGTCGCACCTCGAGGTCAGTTTTTAGGGCGGGCCGGGCGTTTCGCCTGAGACTTCCTCACCATCTATGACCCTGAAGCTCAAACATTGACAACAACTTCACAGATGGAGGGCGAGTCGTTTTCAGCATGTGGCTCTCGCCTTAGCGCCGCGCACATTCGTTTAAAGAAACATGCAAGAGTTTCACGGATTGAGGGCGGCCCATTTTCAAACTGTGGCTCTCACCTTAGCGCCGCGTGCATTCGTTTTTAAACATTGCAAGAGTTTCACGGATTGAGGGCGGTTCCTTTTCAACATGTGGCTCTCGCCTTAGCGCCGCGCGCATTCGTTATTTATGTTTTTTTCTTGTTTCTGTTTTTTTCTGGGAAAATGCAAGAGTGTCACGGGTTCCCATGATCAGCGTGGCAGAATTTGTGTTGTGGAGAAATTCAGGATTATGAGGGTGCAGCAATTTCGTTGATTCGCGGCGCTGGAATCGCAGGAATAGCGCCCTGGCGCGATTCAGGATCGTCAAAACGCAAAAGTCAAGTTGATCCGTGGCGTTGGACTCCCGAGAACATTTTTTTGGCATGCGTCAGGGTCTTCAAGCGGTTCTCTTCCAACGAGGCAGTTCCCTCAGTGGAAACGAACCGTCGCAGGTGCCTATCAAGAGGGAGCTTGGAGGGATGGTATATTCCACAGTCGTTGGTAACTCTTGGGTTTACACTGGTCCTCCTCCTCCTCTTCCTCCTCCTCTTCCCTCCTCCTCCCCCCTCCTCCTCTGTCTCCTCTTTCCCCTCCTCCTTCCATTTTTCCTCCCCCTTCTTCCTCCGCCGCCTCCGATTCTTCTACCTGCTCATCTTTCCTCCACCCCCTCCCTCCTCTTTCTCCCTGCCATTCTCCGCCTCTTCATCCTGCTCCTCCTCCTCCTCCTCCTCCTCCTCCTCCCTCCTCCACCTACTCCTCCTCCTTATTTCCGTCCTCTTCCCTGCTGCTCCCTTCTCCTACCTTCTCCTCCTGTGACCTTGTGACCCTGAAGAGCAGCCGTCCAGTACCCTGAAACTACGCGGCGCACTTGAGGGGGGCAAACCGAGTGTGTGGCAGAAGCGCAGGAACGTGCAGCAGCGGCAGCAGGGTCAACGGTCCTGCTGCTGCTGCGGGGGCACCACCCAGGTCCGACCGAATCCCACCAGCCCTCTGGGCGTAGGTTGGTTGAACAGGTTGTTTTCTTTCTTCTATGCCCCCTTCTCCTCTTGGGTTTGTCACTGCTCCCCATTAAGATACACCCCCTCCCCCAGGCGACGGGCAACCAACCAGGAACAATGAAGACCCCATGAAGGCCCCTCACCGTCCGTGCTAGAAAAATACAAAGTGCAATTTGGGGCAAAGTCTGGAGTCATCTTCGTGAGGCCCGCGAGCACTTAATATTGTTTTGTTGTCAAGAACGGCGAGGATGTCAGCATATTGCCTGTTTCGCGCACGGCTACCGTCCCTGACAAACAATACAACATGCACCTCGCGGCTAAATCTGGATCATGCGCGGACACCCCTCGATCACTGTCAAGTGGTGGCGTATGGCCTGCTGTGCGCAGGCCCACCAGACACAATCATGGGCATTGGTTTTCGACATGGATGGTGGGAGCCGACATGTTTTCCGATGTGTGTTGTCACGTGCGCAGGCGCAGCTGACACACTCTGCCCGTGCCCCGAACGTGGCGCACCTGGCGCGGCTGGCGTATGCGGCACATCTGACGCACACGGATACACGTGGCGCATCTGGCGCACCAGGCGTGCCTGGCACGCTCGGGCCCCAGGGGTGCCTGGCGCGCGTGGCGCTCCTGGCACGCGTGGCGCACGCCGCCCCAGCGTCGCGCACATGGGCTCGGTTTTGATTCCCAGTAGCTGTCAATCCAAAGACGACGGCTGAACATGCTGAGGCTCGGGTGTTACTTATGTGTTGGGCGGGCGGGTGGGAGTGAGCTAGACGGCTTGCTATCTACAATAAGAAGGTGTCTTGATCACTGTTCCCAATTAATAAACACCCCCTGCCCCACCTTGCCGGCAGCCAACCCGGAACCATGCGGGCACCCCCCCACCATCCCTGTCAAATGCGGGGCCCACCCTGCCAACACCCTCCACAATCCCTGTCAAGAAACAATACGAATTGCACATTGCAGCGAAATCTGGACAGTGCGCTAGCGCCCTGTGAGCACGTTGTATTGTTCTTGGACAGGGATGGCGGGGCACCCTCAAAGAAGCCGCTTTGTGCAGGACCACCATCCGTGTCAAAAACAATGCAAAGTGCACGTTGCGACAACGTCGTGGGTATTGTGCTGGCCACCCGCGATCACTTTGTATTGTTTTTTGACAGGGACGGCGGTGGTGCCCGCATGCTGATGCTTGCTGTGCGCAGGCCCAGAAGAATGCTGAAGCCCCCCGCATCAGCATATGGACCATGCGGAGGGGGGCATCACGTTTTTTTCCCAACCATCTTGTGGTATCGGGTCCTCGTTTTGAAAAGACAGCGCCCCGCGTCACCTCTTCCTCCTCCCGTTGTCCTCCCTTTCCTCCTCCTCCTCCTCCGCGTCACCATCTGCATCATCCCACCCATTTTGGCACACCCCTCACACGGTTCGTGGCCCCACAGGGAGCTCCACCGAAGGCCCCAGTGGCACAGGCCGCATGCGGGGACCGCACCCATTTTGGCACACCTTTCACACGGTTCGTGGCCCCACAGGGAGCTCCACCGAAGGCCCCAGTGGCACAGGCTACATGCGGGGACCGCACCCATTTTGGCACACCCCTCACGCGGTTCGTGGCCCCATAAGGAGCTCCACCGAAGGCCCCAGTGGCACAGGCCGCTTGCGGGGACCGCGCCCATTTTGGTAAACCCCTCGCACGGTTCGTGGCCCCACAGGGAGCTCCTCCGAAAGCCCCAATGGCACAGGCCGCATGCGGGGACCAACACCCTTTTGGCACACCTCATACGGTTCGTGGCCCCAGAGGGAGCTCCACCGAAGGCCCCAGTGGCACAAGCCGCATGCGGGGACGCCACCCATTTTGGCACACCCCTCACACGGTTCGTGGCTCCACAGGGAGCTCCACCGAAGGCCCCAGTGGCACAGGCCGCATGCGGGGACTGCGCCCATTTTGGCATATCCCTTACACGGTTCGTGGCCCCACAAGGAGCTCCACCGACGGCCCCAGTGGCACAAGCCGCATGCGGGGACCGCCACCCATTTTGGCACACCCCTCACACGGTTCGTGGCCCCACAGGGACATCCACAGGCCGCACGTGGGGTCCGCCACCCATCTTGGCACACCCCTCGCACGGTTCGTGGCCCCACAGGGAGCTCCTCCGAAGGCCCCAGTGGCACAGGCCGCATGCGGGGACCGCCACCCATTTTGGCACACCTTTCACACGGCTCGTGGCCCCACAGGGAGCTCCACCGAAGGCCCTAGTGGCACAGGCCGCATGCGGGGACGGCCACCAATTGGTACACCGCTCACACAGTTCGTGGCCCCACAGGGAGCTCCTCCGAAGGCCCCAGTGGCACAGGCCGCATGCGGGGACCGCCACCCATTTTGGCACACCTTTCACACGGTTCGTGGCCCCACAAGGAGCTCCACCGAAGGCCCCAGTGGCACAGGCCACATGCGGGGTCCGCCACCCATCTTGGCACACCTCTCACACGGTCCGTGGCCCGAGCTGCACCGAAGGCCCCAGTGGCACAGGCCGCATGCGGGGTCCGCCACCCATTTTGGTAAACCCCTCACACGGTCCGTGGCCCCACAGGGAGGTCCTCCGAAGGCCCCAGTGGCACAGGCCGCATGCGGGGACCGGGTCCATTTTGGCACACCCCTCACGCGGTTCGTGGCTCCACAGGGAGCTCCACCGAAGGCCCCAGTGGCACAGGCCGCATGCGGGGACCGCCACCCATTTGGCACACCCCTCACACGGTTCGTGGCCCCACCAGGAGCTCCTCCGAAGGCCCCAGTGGCACAGGCCGCATGCGGGGACCGCCACCCATTTTGGCACACCTTTCACACGGTTCGTGGCCCCACAGGGAGCCCCGCCGAAGGCCGCAGTGGCACAGGCCGCATGCGGGGACCGGGTCCATTTTGGCACACCCCTCACACAGTTCGTGGCCCCACAGGGAGCTCCACCGAAGGCCGACGGCCCCAGCGGCACAGGCCGCAAGCGGGGACTGCTACCCATTGTGGCACACCCCTTATGCGGTTCGTGGCCCCGCAGGGAACTCCACCGAAACCGGTACCTACAATGCGGCACTCGCAGCTGCATATGGTTGGGTCCTTCGTCAAGCTAATTTACAAGGATGGCACACCAACCGCATGTGGAGCCCGCGGCGAGCGTCGCGCACCTGGCGTCCGCTTTGGTTCCCAGTGGCTGTCCATCCAGTGGCGACCCCTGGCTACGCCGAGACTCGGATGCCACTTAGGTGGTGGGAGGGCGGGTGGGAGTGAGCTAGGGCGGGTGTCTTGACCCCTCCCCCTACCCCCTCCCCTGGGCCTGGAAAAAAAAAGGGGGGGGGGCCGGAGGGATCAGAGCGCCCAAGATGGCCCAATATGGCTCCAAGAAAACCTTCGGCAACCCAAGACGGCCTCCAACATGGCTCAAGATATCCGGAGATAGCTCACGATAGCCTCCGACATACCTCCAAGACAGCCCCAAGAGGGTTACAAGTCCCCTTGGAGCCTTCCTAGGCACCCTCCAAGAAGCCAGAGGCCTTCAACCACCCAAGGAAAATCAATGCTTTTTGCCTCCTTGCTTTCTCGCCTCCGATGGGCCTCTGATGCACCTGGATGGCCCCAACGTGGCCCAAGAGAGCCCCACGAGGGGTCAAGAGGGCTCCACGACAGCCCCAAGAGCGCCCAGGAGACGCGGCCCAAGGGCCTTGTTCCAAGAGGCCATGGGTTAGCCTCCGAAAGGGGGGGGCTAAACCAATCTCCCACCCTTTTTGAATCATGGGGCCAAATCGGCCCGAAGAGAAGTCTCATATCTCAACTTTGCAAAGTCTTTGCATGCCACCCCCCCTCCTTCAAAGACCCGGCAGAGCCCCTTGCGAAGACCCTGCAAAGAGGGGGCGCCTCTTTTGCTGGTTAAAGAGCCTTGAGCCCCGCTGTTCAAAAACAAGGGGGTACGAAGTTCATGCCCCCCTCGAAAGCTCAAAGCTCGTGCCGCGTTCCTCTTCCTCCTCCTTTTCGCTTTTTCCTCCCCCTCCTCCTCTTCCTGCTCCTCCTTCTCCTCCTCCTCCTCCTCCTCCTCCTCCTCCTCCTCCTCCTCCTCCTCCTCCTCCTCCCCCTCCTGCGCATCAAGCTCCTCCAAATCCGTCATAAGCTCCTCCTCCTCCTCCTCCTCCTCCTCCTCCTCCTCATCCTCCTCGGTGGCCCTTAGCTGTTGCTCATGCGGGGTCTCTAGGCAATTCATCAGACAACTCGCCTTGGCATCGATTCTGGACGCCGATAAGATTCGGTTTCCTGCGGCTCTTTCGGGGCAGATCACGCCAATGAAAGCTCCGCTACTGCCGCCGTGCCATGGACATTTTTGTAGAATCATCCAACATCTGTTCCCGCTGCTTCTGCGGCCCCGACACGCTTCCGAGGCGGCCGTGCCGCTGCGTGTATCTACACTTCCCCGATTCGGGCACCTCGTTTGGCAATGGCTTACCGTCTTGCATGGCAACAATCCCAAGCTCCCATGAATTTGGGAAGGCGGGAAGACCCCAACATAACTCCAAGAAGACGTCCAACCATACTCACAAAAACCAGGGCTAACGACACTATATGTTAAAACATTCGACATCTGCTCCTGCAGCTTCTGCGGCCCCCGCGCGCTTCCAAGGCAATCGTTTCCTTGCGTACTTGTACAATTCTCTGATTCAGGCAGCTCGCATGGCAATCGCTCCTACCAGTCCTGGATGCAACAAACGTCGCGCCCAGTCTTGGACGCAACACAGAGCAAGTGCCCATGAATCCTTTACGCAAGAGATCAACGCAACACAAGTCCATGGAATCATCCCAGAAGGCTCAGATAAAGCCGGGTTGGCAAGGGAACATGTCTACCGCCACCAAACAAATGGGCCCGCCGCGTCTGCAGCCCCCGACACGCTCCCAAGAAAACCGTTCCACTGCAAGTTTCTACACTGCCCTGATTCGAGCAACTCCCCTGGCATTTCTTTCTAGATGGGCCTGTGGGGATGCGCGAAGCGTCAAGAATGTTGCACCCTTCGGGCGGCTAGGCGCCAGACTTCAAGTGGGCCAGGCTCTGGACATCGACTTCGTTGCGAGTTGCCTCGTGGCAGGATCCCTGGGGGTACAGGAGCGAGGTCGCGAACGCCCAGCACCGGGAACACTGGGCGATCCCCCCGTGGGCCCAGCCAAAACGTGCGGGAGCTGGGAGCCGTCTTCGCAGTCTCAGGAACGCTGGTACACGGAGCCAGCCGCAGCCCCGTTCCAGTCGCAAACCTCTCGCTACTGACGGAGATGCTGATGAATCCGATGGAGATGCTGATGGAGATGCTGATGAATCCGATGGAGAGATGCTTGGCCCCGTCCCCCGCCAGCCGATCCGCAGCCTGATTCCCCTCCCAAGCCCAGACGGGCATCCCCGTGTCGCAGGCACTGGCCAGGGTAAGGTGGGAGCGGGCCTTCAGGAGAGAGATGCTTTCAATCCAGTGGCCCTGGGCCCGAGGTAATTTGGGCCCATACTTCAGAATATGCCAACCTGTCCAACTCCTGATCGGGGCCCCTGTCCCGAACGTCGATCGCAAACTTATGATCTGTGGCGAGAACAGCCTCGCCGAAGGAGCGAAACCTCACGGCCGTGAGGAGAGCATGCGCCTCCCCGCAGCCCGACTCCTGGATGGGATGAGGGAGGGGCCCGCATGGCGTCGCTGTGATGTCGGCCACGTGCCAGTCCATCCCCACCGCAGCCCCGCCCGCTCCAGGGAACGGGTTGTCAGGGGTCAAACGCCGAGCCGTCTGTGCACGCTCTGTGGCCCAACGGCCCTGCCGCGGGAACCTTGCCCCCCTTGACGTACTCATGCTGTCACGGAGTCGGCCGCATCACGTCTGGAGACGGCGCGACCCAACGAGGGCACAGCGCGAGGTCCGCATCGGGCCTGGAGGCGCACGCCTCGCCTCCCCCCAGGTCCGAATGAGCTCGTGTAGGGCCAGTGCGCAGGGCAGCGAAGATCGCGGTGCATCTGGGTGCCGGGCTCCTCGAGGCATGCTTGGCATCGCTTGTCGACGACCTCTGTGGGCCTCGAACGTCGCCGCCTGGGATTCGGGGGCCCTCCGGGCGCCGAGCCCCACAACCGCCGCGCTGTCTTCGTGCCCGGCCTGCGCGCCTCGCCGCGGCACTCCTCGTTGGCGGCGCGCGCAAGGCGGTGGGGGGCGGGGGGGGAGCTTTCGCTAAAGAGCCTGCTTCTTAGAAGGCGCCGGCCCTACATCTGCAAAGAAGACCCGCGCTTTCTGACAGGCAGGGGTGCTTCTGAGAGGCCTTCCCCCCCCCGTGCCCCATCTGCGCGTGGCTGACCTCGCGTGGCTTGATGGGTAGAGCCAGTGGGGTCGACTCAGGGGCTCCGAACCGCTTCGAACCCATGCGCCACCGGATCGCATCACGGGTGTCAGATTCGATCGGCTTTGCCCGGGAATGTTCCCAAATGTCACGGAGTGTCCAGAGGCACCCCCGACTTCGTTTTCCAAGAACACAACGAGGTAGCGCACTGGCCCGGCCGAGGCAACGTGGGCACCGCCGCGCCAGCTGGCCCGGGGACGTCAGCCCGAGCAGAACTTGGCGGCGGCTCGGCCGCGGTGAGACAATCGCGCAGGGTGGAGCGCCCAGCTCTCTCGAGCAGCTCTGCCCCAGGCCATCAGCGGGGGGAACGCTGACCTGGGGCCCTGGGTCAGCACCCGGCGTAGGCGGCATGAACTCCAGGGGGCGGCTTCGCCCCCTGGCCGCCCCAAGCGTGGCGCGCACCAGGGGCCCGCCCCGCGTGCTGATTCTCCGATCATCTATGCCTCTGACGCTGAGCCCATGCGTGCCAGCAGTTGGAGCTCCACCCCTGATGGCCGAAACTCGGAAGACAAGAAACTCGGAAGGGAGTGCCCTGAGCTTCCCAAGGCGAGCTCACGCCACGAGACGAAGTGTGTGTGTGTGTGTGCCCCTGAAGCCCCAATCCGAAATCGCGTCCGAGGTTGCGTGCAGCCTCGGGGGCCTTGAACTTCCACTCCGCCAGACGCGTGGCAATCGACTGGGTTGCCGAGGAACGAAATGAAATTCGCTGGCCCAGCGGGCCAGAAGCGTGCTGAGGCCTCCATGCCCGCTGTCGCAACGTCTCCGGAAAAAGACCACCGCCCTGGGGCGCCGCACGGGCCACGAACGCGCGGGCAGACGCCGGCGACGGCACAGTGCGGGCTGGCGGAAGCAGCGAAGCGACGGAGCGGCCATTGCCTGCAGACCCCGAGATCGCCAGGCAGAGAGCCTCGAGCAGCCCGCAGAGGCACGCCGTCGCCCTGCCGGGGCCAGCTCGGGCGGCCTTGGCCGCCCCTCCGGCAAGCGACGCGATGTCCTCGACGGCGCTCAGGGGCCCGATGGGCGGGGCGCAGGCAGGAAGGGGCCCCGGGACACACAAATCAACACACACGAATGACAGGATTCCCCCTATTTTCCTATATTTTTTCTGGCTTTTGTCTCCCCCCGCACTTCCCCTATTTTCCCCTATTTTCCTGGGGATCGACGATTCATTGCGTCGGTGTGTTTTTTCCCCTCCTGAATGCAGCAATCCAGTCGAGCGGCTGGAGAACAACTCCATGAACAGAAACTTTCGGATCTCCGCGCAGGTTTCGTGGGTTTGCGCTTGAGCCCGCAGGAGCGGGGGAGAAGGCTGGACGCCAGAAGCGTTCGCTTCCTGCCTGCGAGCCGCAGCCCCTCCTGACCCCGGCTGCAGAAGGAACGCTCGCGGCAGAATGGTAGCAAAGGGGCAACCCGCGAGGGCGGTCTGCCCAACCTGCGCACGCTCGGAACACATCCCGGCCGAGCCCAAGCCTCTGGGCCCGCTTCACGTCTGCAGCAACCATATGACACGGAGCGGCGGGAACTTCGAGTGCACGGCGTTTGGTTAAGGAAGACATGAAACACCTTCCCATTCGCTGTGGCGAGTTCCAGAAAGGTGGGGCCCGTGGTGGTCCCCTTGAGGTTAAAGTTCTCCACGGCCAGGCTCTGCTCACATACTGCCCTTTCGCCAGACTTCTCTTTGACCCCGTACTGGTCGCCCCAGGGCTCCGAATTCTCCCGAACCGCCGCTCCCCAGCGAGACAGCCGGTGAAAATCGCGGCTAACCTCAGCTTGGCCAAGAGAACAGGCGCGATCGTGCTGCCACGAAGGCCTCAGCATTCCTGCCAGCGCCAGGGAGGCGCCCAGAAGGAGAGCGCCCCGTCCGAGAACCTATTACACTTCCTCGCCGCCTGCCCGATCTCTGATGCCCCGAGCGGGCGGACGCAAATCATCGACGCAAGCTCCTGTCTCCGCTTCATGCTGTAGGAGGGTCCTTCCGCGCCTCTAGGATCTCCTCGATTTGTCGCTGGGGGCCCAGGGGTGAGACTGGTTGTAGGGGCTCACCCGACGGCGGGCTTGGCGCATCTGTGAGCCTTCGCAGCTAAGCCAGACACAACTTCAGCAACCCACTCGCGCCGCCAAACACCTCGGTTGGACTTGAAGGCGAGCTCCTCGCGCGCGCTTCTTGGTGGTCAGGCCATCTCTGAGAGCGCACTGCCCGTCGACGGGGGTCTTGGCACGCTCGCGGGCCGAACCGAAAGTCGTCGCCACAGCTATCCTGATGGTGTCCTCGACCTCAGCTTTCCTCCTGGCGGAGCCCTCGGACTCCAGCCCGAAAAGGTCCCCGCCCATCAGCTCTATGGTGTCGCCGTTGAGGAGCTGCTCGGGATGGATGACGTGGCGCTGCGCCATCTCGGAGTCGCCTTGCGTCCTAGCTGCAGTCGGCGCCTCTGCCGCCATCACCTGCACAGCGAGGTGGTATTTGGCCTGGAGCTCCTCGCAGTCCTACAGCGCCTGCACCGCCGTTCGTCGAGCACGCACGAGATGGGCTTTCAAGTCCTCGGCCGCCTTGGCCCTCCTGTCCAAGGCCGCTTTCGCCTGCTCCATGGCGCGCTTGGCCGCCCCGATGCTCGGGGTGGTCGGCTTGGATGCTGCTACCAGCAGCATAGTGCATAGTGTAAGACACATGCACCTTTGCCTGAGCTTCATCACCCAGTCCAAGGAACGTGTCCGCCAGACGCTGTGAGATGGGAATGCTCTCAACTCCATGATTGGCCCAGCCCCCCGAAGAAGCGATCCATCCGAATCCACCAGCTGAAACTCGATCTGGCGAACCTCCAGACATCCTCCATTCATGCCAACGTCCTGAGGAGATGTGACGCCTTCTTCTTCTCGTCCTCCTCCTCCTCCTCCTCCTCCTCCTTATCACTTTTGCCACACCTGTCGCCCTTGCCGTCGAAACCGTTGCCTCCGCCTTTGCCGAGGGACGGCGGCACGGCCCACTTGCCCTTTGAGCCCAGAGGCTCACGGAGCTCGACGTGCACCAACGGCATGTAGCAGTGCTTGCACAAACTGGAGGTGGCCGTGATCTTCTCGCAGCCGCAATTTGGACAGGGAGCCTTGTTGAGCACTGGGGGCGCGTGCCACTGCCAAGCCTCGCCCTTCGTCTCGCCTGCCACACGCACCTCAGGCTGGCAAGAATGAGACGAAACTATCGGCCTGGAGTACCGGTCGGTGCAAGAAGATCAATCATGCTGTGAATGTGTGCAGATAGGAAAGACCGCAGTGCGATGAACGAAAGCTGCTGGGGTCGCGGGCTTCCCACGCCACAAGGATTCAAGTCCCTGGGCGACCGCTACGGCCTTGAACCGCACCTGCTACGGATTACCAATCTCCTCATCATTCTCCCCCTCCTCCTCCTCCCCCTCCTCCTCCTCCTCCTCCTCATCGCCCTCCGTGGAAGAGATGGCGGAACGCTGCTGCTGATGATGATGATGGTGATGATGACGCGGATGATGCTCGTGACTGAAATAGGGATTAAGAGGATGATGAGGCAATTGTGTGTGGGGATGAAGAGACGGAGAAGCAGGCGGGTGGACGATGCGGATGACGACACACGGGGAGAACACGAAGGAGAGGGGATGGGTGATGTGGGGGGGAAGGGAGGAGGAGGAGGACGAGGGTGGATGAGAAAGGAATCCGCCTCCCCCCTCTCCCTCCCCGCCGCCTCCCCCCCCCTCTCTCTCCCTCCCTCCCTCCGCCTCCTTCACCTCCTCCTCATATTCCTCGTCGTCCCCCTCCTCCTCCTCTTCCTCCTCCTTCTCCTCCCTGCCCCCCCCATCCACCTTTTCCTCCTCTCTCCTTTCCTCCTTCCTCCTCCTCCTCCTCCTCCTCCTCCTCCTCCTCCTCCATCCCAGGCTGCCCCTGCTCATCCTCTTGGCCCTCCCTCTTCCCTCCCCGTGCGCGACCGCGGGCGGGAGGGGGCATGCGGATGAGGAGCGACCGTGCCGCAGGGATAAAAAAGGATGAGGAGAAGGATGATGCTGCGGAGGAGGCGGTGCAGGGAGGTGGAGCGGATGGTTGTTGAGGAGGACGACGAGGGGCGGGGGTGGCGGGGGGTGGGGGGGCCCTTGTGTTCCTTCTACTCCTCCTTTTCCCCGTTGGTCCTGTTTCCCCTCCTTCATCCATCCCCTTTCTTTGGAAGTGCCTCTTCCTCGTTGCACCACCAGGCGTGTCAGTAGAGCGCTCCAGGGGTTACCCCATCTACTTCCTCCTTGCAGCTTCTCACAATGAAGCTCGCACTTTTCCAAAGTTGCACGGGGTCAGCGTGGGCCGTTTTCAAAACCTGGCCCTCGTCTTGGCA